TTAATGCTGCTGTACAATGTACTCACTGGCTAATGAAAGAAGAAAATCAGCCATCACAGCACCTGAATTTGGGTGCTATCTGTGTCTGTTTCAGAATCGATGACCGCTGGTTATGCTAAAAGTGGATATTGCTAAGTTTATGCTTAATTTGCTGACCTCTCATTGTGGTGGTGATGGTGTATCATTAGCAGGACCAATGTCGTCATTTTTTATTTTTTTGTGGCTTTCTTTTTTTTGCTGGCTACTACCACCACCGTTTAGAGCGCCTTTGTCTTCTTCTCAGTATTCACTTACTTACTCACAGAACACAGAGAGTTCCTTTCTTACTGTTGTCTGTCTGCTCTATTTTTACTGCCTTGTCCTGAGCAAGAAAGAGAAGTTTACTGCTTAGCACTCTTTCATCTAAGGGCAGTCAGTCAATTTTCTTCTCTGTTGTTGCCGTTGCAGCCTGTACCTGGAAATTGACTTCAATTTAGAGATTGAGTCATCGGACAGAAAGAAAATAGAGATGAAGAGAAAGAACAAGCAAAAGAAAGAGTTTGTGTGTGTCTGTTTTGGGCAGGGGACCGACTTCGGGTCAATCGCTCTTTCTCTCTCTCTTTTTCTTTTGCTCTCTCTCTTTCTCTCTCTCTCTCCAGTTTCTACTAAAAACCACCTTGTTGAAGAGAGTCTTCTTTTTTCTTCTTCTTTCTCGACCGGTCGAAGGAGCAGAAAAAGACTACTACAGCGCAGCAGCAGCAGTCAGCTTTTACTTCAGGCGAGTGCCTTTTGCCAGCGGATTCGAGTTGTCGGTGGTGGTGAAGGTCGAGGCCATCTTCATTGCCATGGTCGAGGTAGTCAGAAGGAGTGAGAAGGGTGAGCTAGTTGAAAATGAAGGCGAAGAAGAGAGAAAAAAATAGACGAAGAGAAGCGTACAAAGAACAGGTTGTTGTCCGTGTGGAAGAGAGTGAATGGAGGCAGCTGGTGATGAGCTCCAGTGCAGCACAGCACACGGCACACTATTTCACTGACACTTCTATCGACCTCTTCCCTTCTCTATCTTTCCTTCATCTCTCCTAATCGCTTTTTTTCTCCTACTTTCGAACGACTCTTTTGCGTCCCTTTTGGGCGTACGTTCAGCAGGAACAGCAGCAGCTGTTTTCATCAAAGTTTCTGAAAGGTAAAGGTCAGAGAAATCGGGGTAGAGAAGAGAACAACCGGCAAGATACAAAGTCTTTGATGATGATGGTGGTCATTCTTAAGGCAGACAAAGTCAGCCGTGGCTGTTTGTGATCAGCAACTTTTCCCCAGCTTGCCAACTAGTCTTTCCATCTTTTCTCTCTTTCTCTCTTTTTATCCAGCAGTACCTCTTTCAGTATATGATCTACAACAGTTTGTGTTTAACTGTTCTGTCTAGTTTTAGCTCCCTTGTGTGTATGAAAGTTAGTCATCGTAGTTTTTCCCCATTTTTTATTATTGTCTGATTATGGTCCGCTTTAGTCAGCTAGTTAGTAACGGCAGTAACAACAGTAGCAACAACAACAGCAAACACTGTCACTCCAAGCTTGCCACTTGTACGTCATTTTGCCCCCCGGTGGTGATATCACTCTCAACATCATTTTTACCCCTAATCACTCCTTCCTTTCTTTAAATCTCAATACTAATCTTTTTCTTTCTACTTTTGTCTACTTTTCACAGACGAACTGAACGTCAACGCCCTGTGCAACGCCGACCAGCCCGAGCTGGTGATCGACCACCTGGCGAAGGTGATTGAGGCGCAGTTGCGTGACGCCCGCGAGAACCGCCGCCTCGTCTGCAAGGAGCTCTTCCTGCCGAATGACCTGCTGCGGAACATTGCCGCCAAGGTGCGCCTGCTCGCCGAGCCGGAGCCCTGCGGCCTGCGCGGCTGCAAGTTCTACATCTGCATCGAGGACAAGGACGCCTCGGCACTCAACTCAGGCAACACACCACCCGCCACCACTCAGTCAGTGGTGTCCGGTGGGGGTGGTGGTGGTCATCACTACCACCGCTCGAATAGTCAGTCGCCGTCGCCGGTGAACTCGCGTCTGCTGGGCGAGGTCTCCCTCGACCGCACCATGGTCCCCACCTTTGAAGTCTTTCTCACGCTGAAGCCCACCCTGCCGAACTGGTTCGACGTCCTGGAGAGTCGCCTCTTCGGTCGGGAGCGCATCATCGTAGCCGAAAACTACCTCATCCACAAGAAGAAGCTCTACCGCAGCCACGATGAGTCGCCGACCTCGGACATGTAGAGAGAGGGAGACCTAATTGAGATGTGATGTGCCATCACACTCAGCTGATGATGATGATGATGATAAGCAACCACGCAAACAAACACACACACACACACACAATATTCATCAAACAAAACAAAAACCAAGCAAAAAACGTCTACAAAAACTAAAAACAGTAATCCGGTGGATGCTGCTGAGCAAACACATCGCCACACACTACAACAATACAGTATAAACTCCTCCTCATCATCTTCACAACTTTCTCTTTTTCTCATTGCTCTACTGCACAGCCCACAACCAATTGGACCATTCAGCAGCACCATCAGCAGTAGCAGCAATCACAATGTGTACACTACTACTACTACTACTACCACCACACCATCACCTGCTTTTAAATGGATTCATAGGGCACACTCTCTCTCTTCTTTTTCTCTCCCTTTTCACATTCTGGTCTCACAATTCTGGCAATCTCTCACTGCACCCACTTATTATTGTTTTTGGTTCATGTTGTAGACACCTCACACCTCANCTCTCTTCTTTTTCTCTCCCTCTTCACATTCTGGTCTCACAATTCTGGCAATCTCTCACTGCACCCACTTATTATTGTTTTTGGTTCAAGTTGTAGACACACACACACACCTCACACTTTCCTACTCACATTTTCCCTACAATTCCCTACAAGGCAGCTGTTGTGCAAACGGAGGATGTGAAGCGAAGAAGGAACGAAGCACTCGCGCCAGACCAAACCAAACTAAACTAGAGGGGACACATCGAAGCTTGTTATGATCAGCAGGAGGAAGAGCAGCAGCAGCAAACTGCAGTATTGAACTGGGCCACACCCACCACACCAGTTTCCAGTGATAGTCGCATCCCCATTGCTTGATCCTCTCTCGTCAACCAGTCATAAAATAATGTCTTATACCACTCCAGTGAACCTTCTCCTCGCACTTTTCTTCTTCTTCTTTTCAGACGCAATCCTCCAGCACCGGTTTCTTTTTCCTCTTTCTCTTCCTTCTCTTTGCAACTACTACTTCCCAATTACTCTCTCTGGTCATCTCAAGTGATGTTGTACACCTCTCTCGCTGTCGTTCTGGCACACACTCTCCTCCTCCTCTTCTTTCTCGCACATCTATCTACTCCAGAGTATCTCCTGAACTGCTGCTATCTATTAACTAAAAGCACACCCACCCTCGTAGGCACACACTAATCAGCAGCCACCATCACACCCACACACACCCACAAAGTCTAGTTTTCCCTATCTCAATTTGCATCCCTACTCTCTCTCTACTTTGTCTCTTGGTCGTACTCCTCGTCGTTTCTGGTAGCATTCTTCTTCTCCTCACTTCAATTTATCTCTTGATTCGTCTATCTCCTCCTCCTCCTCCTCTCTACTTCATATGATTGTGATTTCCAAACACTCGAGCAGTGGTGAAGTGTAGTGTGTGACATTTACCACTCTCTATNCTCCCTATCTCAATTTGCATCCCTACTCTCTCTCTACTTTGTCTCTTGGTCGTACTCCTCGTCGTCTCTGGTAGCATTCTTCTTCTCCTCACTTCAATTTATCTCTTGATTCGTCTATCTCCTCCTCCTCCTCCTCTCTACTTCATATGATTGTGATTTCCAAACACTCGAGCAGTGGTGAAGTGTAGTGTGTGACATTTACCACTCTCTATTTCTCTTACTCTCACTCTTTCCCTCGCAACTCCGGGCAACCTTCTTCTTCGCACTTCCGCCCAACCTTTTCTTCTTTTTCTTTGCGAACACTGCACACACACACACTCTTTTCTTTTCGGCTCCGAACCTTCGAACTCGAGGGCCTGATGATAACGAAATGGTGATTCTCTCTTTCTCTCTTCATTGACCACTATATTTGCTGTTGCGTCAGACACACCCACACACACCTCCTCCTCCACACTGAACTCTTTCTTTTTTCTCTGTCAACTGTTACCTACTGATACTGATACTACCACCCCAACTGAACCAGTGAACCAAATGTAATGGTCTGAAATCATCAATGTGACCACCACAACCACGATTTCTCTCTTTCTCTCATTCACACAAAGAGAACTCTATTTTATCGACGATGATATTACATTTAACGTATAGCAATTAAAAGTGATTCAATCTAAACTCTGCTTTTGTCTACTTTTTTTCTCTTTATGAATGGCGTTTCCTTGCTGTTGATTGATCATCATCAGTTTAATGTTTTCCATTGAGCTGTCATCTGCTCAGTCTGGTAGTCATTGGTTTACTTTTCGTACAATTCCAGAGAAATACTACCGCTTGTCAATTGCATTTTTGTTTTGTTCAACCCTCGATGCTTTTCGGTGCATTTCCACTACTACTATTTGCGCCACTGCCCATTAAATCTAATCCCGCTAATCAATTGTACCGAATGTATCAACTGGCCTTGCAGAGTGCACAGTGGCAAAAGAGAAGGGAAAATACAGCTAAAGATCAGTCCAGCTGCGATGAAACCACTTTTGCCACGATGAAGGCTTTCGCTGACTGAGTCAGTGACCGAATGAGTGAGTGAGTGAGTGAAACCAAGAACAAGGGCCAGCACTGAGCTGCCAAATGCAATTGCTTTTTTATTATTTATCCTGCTCTCGTTTTCTTCTGCAGTCGTCAAACTGCATCAGTCATCTTCTTCTTCTTCCTCTGTGGTGTTCTTCAGTTGTTGTTGTTCTAGATGCTGTTGTTGTCTTGTTTTTGCCCCTCTTTTTTCATTTATCGCAACTCACATTGAATTGAAGTGCTGCTGCTGCTGCAGATTAGCCAACTGTAGTAGTCTTACGGTTTGGCTCTGTGCACTTTGTGCCACTGGACACAAGCACAGAATGTAATTCAATTACGACATTAGTAGAAATGATAGATGGCTGCGAGCAGTGTAACCAAAAAAATAAGAACGCAAGAGTGCAACCAGTGCCCCTTTTACTTTCACTTGCAGAGGAAGGAATTAAATTAACTGAAATTAATCGAACTAATCGAATTATTCGTAGNAGTCTTACGGTTTGGCTCTGTGCACTTTGTGCCACTGGACACAAGCACAGAATGTAATTCAATTACGACATTAGTAGAAATGATAGATGGCTGCGAGCAGTGTAACCAAAAAAATAAGAACGCAAGAGTGCAACCAGTGCCCCTTTTACTTTCACTTGCAGAGGAAGGAATTAAATTAACTGAAATTAATCGAACTAATCGAATTATTCGTAGTCAAATAATCGCACTTTTGAACAGCCATCAGTGGTGGTGGTGGTGGTGGTGGTGGCATTTACTAACTTGGTGGCAACTAAATGCACCCACTTCCCCTTTGACTGCTGCTGCTGTTCCAAATGGAATCGAATCGATGGCAAAAGCAGCAAAAGCCTGATTATGCCCATCGATTTCCAACATTGCTCGATTCGCCTTCCATTAATAGTTCTCTGCTTCCTCCATCAAACTATACATTGATGCCTGTACACTGTGCGCACTGTCGATAATATCGATAATAATTTGGGTGGCCTATCAATTGGCGTAGTGGTGACGTCATTGGCGCTTGCTTTGGAAAGCTGAAGAGAATCGTACATCCTTTTTTGTGGGTCCGCATCCCTTTTATGTGCCCCTATAGTTGTCGTCGCTCCAAAGCAGAGCACTTTGTTGCCTGCTGCTGCTGCTGTTGCTGAAGAGAATTCTTTCAACTTATTAGCTCTTGTCATGCCTTCATTAATTATCGCCAATTTAAGCGCGCACACTTTTTTTTGTTTTGGCACTTTTTTTTGGCATTCTTGGCTCCTTATTTGGGTAAAGCCCATCAACCAACTCCCCAACCCTCTTTTTTTGTTGATGATGATGACGGTGGTGATAATGATGATCATCCCTTTAGGCACCACTTCTCTCTCTTTTAGTTCCTAAGCTCACGTCCTGACAACATGTCTCCCC